AACAAATTTAAACAAGTAGCCATTCTAATACAAATTGAAGAGAGCTAAAGCAGACATGAAGCAAAAGAATGGCCAAGAACCTAAGTGTTGCATGCCAGTAAAATATTTTGTTTTTTTTTTTTTTTTTGTTGATTTAGCTTTAAAAGTGGCACATTCAGTGTTGGCAGCAACAAATATTTGTTTAAGTGTAACATGTTTTATTAAGCGACAATTACTAGAGGTTTTTTGTTAAAGATAGTGAGAGAGGGAAGGAAGGACAGAGGGAAGGACAGACAGACGGAAGGACGGACATAGAGCTAATTATGCTTTAATGCAATTAAAATATATTGTATATAAATTAAAACAAATATTTGACATGACCAACTTAAATGATTGAGTGTTTTTCCACCAACATTTCCTAGAATCGACACTTACTTCGATGTTTAATTTTATGAGGTTGCAACATGTCTGTTGCAGGCTAAAGTAGTTAGAGAGATAGTGTTTCTGATAATTATAACAATTATGAAATATAAATGTTGTATGGCATGTGATCTAGTCATAAGTTTTAATTAACTCAAGAAGTTTTTTTTAAGCTTTTAGCTATGAAAACGATTTACAAAAATGTTTGATTAAAATCATGTTGTGTTGAGAGGGTTTTTTTTTAATTAAAAATGCATAAAACATTAAATGTTTTAAACTGTAATGAATAACTTAGAATAACAAATAAATGACTTAATATTCTAAAACTTTAATAAGTTTATTAGCTAAAATTTAGAATTGTTAAAGCACGATCGTTAAGAAGCTATGTCCCCAAATAAGTTTGTTTTGAAGAAATATAATTGCCCAAAAAAATGCATTACATATTGCATGATCATCATGATCGTTTTACAACATTGTTGTAACCCTGTATAAATAAAAATGTTTAAACTTAAATGCTAACTGCTGTGTGTCAGTTTAAATGAGTTTGATCATTTAGCAGGCGCCAATTAGATTAAGAAAGACTTTTTTTCGGCCAAGCACTAAAGATCAGTGATGACACAAACCCCAAAAACAGCAAAAAATATTATTAAGAAACACCTCAAATAATCATTAAAAAGGATCTTAATAGTGTCTCATTTAAAACAATTTTAATGATTGACAAATATCATCATTTTCATCATAATCACTGGACAGTTAAACAAACAAAACCCGGTCAGTTGTTTAAAGGAATAAAAACTTAACAAACTTCCAACTGTTCAACCTTCTAAAGTTGAGCCCCAAACAAACAATCAAACAACAATCTTGTTATAAAAGTATTTTGTATCTTTTGTAGCATGTGCTGCTTCTCAACTTGACCAATTGTTAGCAGATTGCAAACTACTAGCTTAAAAAGGGGATGTGTGATGTCGCATGAATCCAAAACAAAAAAAAAAAAAAAGAGAAGAAGGAGCTTTAGCAACCTGCAGTTAGTTGTATGAACAGTTGCAGCTGTTGCACTTATAGGCACCAGGCACACGCCAAAGCAACAAAACAACAACTAAATTCCTTTATACACTCAGCTAAATAAAACTGAAAATGATTTTATGTCAGCAGCGTTTACACTAGCAAACGATCAGAGATCAACTTCAAATATAGCATTGATCGTAGGTCCTTAAGTAAATAGTATAAAACACTTGCAATATTAGAAACGAACTAACGCAGTCTTTACTATAGGCTGGCTATAGTTCTTACTATAGTGTTGACTATAGGCTAGCTATAGTCTTGACTGAAAGCTTGACCATAATCTTGACCATAATATTGACCATAATCTTGACTGTAATCTGGACTATAGTTTTAACTATAGGCTGACTATAGTATTGACAGTGGACTGACTGTAGTCCTGACAAAAGGCTGACTAAAGTCCAGACTATAGGCTGGCTATAGTCCTGACTATCAGCTAGCTATAGTATTGGCTATAGGCTGGCTGTGGTCTTGGCTATTGGCTGGATATAGTCTTGACTATAGGCTGGATATAGTCTTGACTATAGACAGGATAGTAACTAACTAACTAACTAACTAACTAACTAACTAACTAACTAACTAACTACTAACTAACTAACTAACTACTAACTAACTAACTACTAACTAACTAACTAACTAACTAACTAACTAACTAACTAACTACTAACTAACTAACTAACTAACTAACTAACTACTAACTAACTAACTAACTAACTAACTAACTAACTAACTAACTAACTAACTAACTAACTAACTAACTAACTAACTAACTAACTAACTAACTAACTAACGAACTAACTAACTAACTACTAACTAACTAACGAACTAACTAACTAACTAACTAACTAACTAACTAACTAACTAACTAACTAACTAACTAACTAACTAACTAACTAACTAACTAACTAACTAACTAACTAACTAACTAACTAACTAACTAACTAACTAACTAACTAACTAACTAACTAACTAACAACTAACTAACTAACTAACTAACTAACTAACTAACTAACTAACTAACTAACTAACTAACTAACTAACTAACTAACTAACTAACTAACTAACTAACTAACTAACTAACTAACTAACTACTAACTACTAACTAACTAACTAACTAACTAACTAACTAACTAACTAACTAACTAACTAACTACTAACTAACTAACTAACTAACTAACTAACTAACTAACTAACTAAACTAACTAAGAACTAACTAACTAACTAACTACTAACTAACTAACTAACTACTAACTAACTAACTAACTAACTACTAACTAACTAACTAACTACTAACTAACTAACTAACTAACTAACTAACTAACTAACTAACTACTAACTACTAACTAACTAACTAACAACTAACTAACGTAACTAACTAACTAACTAACTAACTAACTAACTAACTAACTAACTAAACTAACTAACTAACTAACTAACTAACTAAACTAACTAACTAACTAACTAACTAACTACCTAACTAACTAACTAACTAACTATAACTAACTAACTAACTAACTAACTAACAACTAACTAACTAACTAACTAACTACTAACTACTAACTAACTAACTACTAACTAACTAACTAACTAACTAACTAACTAACTAACTAACTAACTAACTAACTAACTAACTACTAACTAACTAACTACTAACTAACTAACTAACTAACTAACTAACTAACTAACTAACTAACTAACTAACTAACTAACTAACTAACTAACTAACTAACTAACTAACTAACTAACTAACTAACTAACTAACTAACTAACTAACTAACTAACTAACTAACTAACTAACTAACTAACTAACTAACTAACTAACTAACTAACTAACTAACTAACTAACTAACTAACTAACTAACTAACTAACTAACTAACTAACTAACTAACTAACTAACTAACTAACTAACTAACTAACTAACTAACTAACTAACTAACTAACTAACTACTAACTAACTAACTAACTAACTAACTACTAACTAACTAACTAACTAACTAACTAACTAACTAACTAACTAACTAACTAACTAACCTAACTAACTAACTAACTAACTAACTAACTAACTAACTAACTAACTAACTAACTTACTAAGTCTTCACTATAGGCTGGCTATAGTCTTGGTTAAACGCTGGCTAGAGTCTTGTCTATAGGCTGCCTTCAATCCTGTCTATAAGCTGGCAAAAGTCGTGACTATAGGCTGGCTATAGTCTTGACTATAGGCTGGCTAGAGTCTGAGCTATTGGCGAGCTAGAGTCTTGACTATAGGCTGGTTATAGTGTAGATTTTAGACTGGCTATAGTATTGATTGAAGGCTTTTTATAGTCTTGATTATAGGCGTGCTAGAGTCTTTACGTTAGGTTGCCTATAGTCTTGACTTGTTTTAGATTTAACTATAGGTTGCTATAGGTCTTGATTCTAGGCTAGCTAGAGCATTGGGTATATGCTGCCAATAGTCTTGACTATAGTCTTCTTATAGGTTTGATTATAGGCTGCATATAATCTTGTTGTTTATAGTCTTGACTATAACCAGCTAATATATAGTCTTGTCTATAGACTTTTGATTATGGGCTGAATATAGTATTTACGATAGGCTGGCTATAGTCTAGACTATAGGCTGCCTATATTCTTGAGGATAGGCTGTATATAGTCAAGACTATAGGCATCCTTGATGTTAAGTTTCATATAGTATAGACTGGCTATAGTCTTGTCCATAGGCCGGCTTGACTTAAGCTCGCCTTAAGTTTAGACTATAGTCTAATAATCAGTTCATTTTTTAAAATATATATATATGCTAGTGTAAACCTTTTCCAAAAAGGATATTTTTTTCCTTACACCTTCTCTACACTCTTGCTCTATCTTGCGTTCTCCCCAGCTCCTTAAAGATGAATCGAGCCGTAAGGTGTATTTAAACAACCACCAAAGCGTGTAAAACAAATAATGCAAAAAAAGCCCCAAAGTTAAAAATTTTGCGAATGTATGAAAAGTAGCTATAGGAATAAAAAAACTATATAAACACTAACTGTGATAACGGTATGCAATCAAAATGGGAAAAAGAGAAATAAAGGAAGAGTTTGTACGTTTTGCTTTACATTTTGAGTCAAAATTTTTTCGAGCAGGTGCTTTAAGCAAAACTAAAACACATTTCCAAAATGCAACCAAAAAAAAAAACAGAAATATGTATAAAATCATGAAGCATCAATAGCAAATATAAAACTGATGTTTATAAGGAAGATGATGATGTTGATAATAATGATGATAATGTTAATTATCATTTAGATAATTATGTTTATCAGCATTAAGGCTTGCATTTGAATTGGTAGCACGATAAACAGAATGTAATTAAACAATGTTGCAACACTTTCTAACACTTGCTGTGCCTCTTATGTCTGCTAACAACTGCCAAAAGTTCTTTCTCTCTGCCACTCGATGCCAACCCATGTCATGTGAAAGCGATCAGGCATAATTGTTAAACACAAAATATCAACATGTTTAATCAAATGATTATTTATTTTCCTTGTATTTTATGTTTTTATTTTTTCAGTTTTTTTCTGGGAGACATTGTATTCAATTCATTTCTGTGGCTGCAACTCCAACCTACAGCCTTTCTCAGACACAGCTGTAAGGTCTCATATGAGAAAGAACGAACGAAAAAAACACCAAGGGATTGACGTGATAAGGACAAGTCAGCTTTATGCCGCAATAATCTGCGTAAATGTCGCAACAATATTTTTCCACATGAACAAACGAAATGTGTTTAATTTGGGTTTATGGATTAAGAGATATTAATTTTGAAACAAGAAAAATAAAATTAAATACTTCACAAATAATTTAGTAGGTTTTCGCTTTTGTTTAAACATATTTTTTAAGATAATTAAGAGAAAATAAAATTATTTATTTGTGAACAGAACTAGAACAGAACTAGAACAGAGCTAGAACAGAACTAGAACAGAACTAGAACAGAACTAGAACAGAACTAGAACAGAACTAGAACAGAACTAGAACAGAACAGAACTAGAACAGAACTAGAACAGAACTAGAACAGAACTAGAACAGAACTAGAACAGAACTAGAACAGAACTAGAACAGAACTAGAACAGAACTAGAACAGAACTAGAACAGAACTAGAACAGAACTAGAACAGAACTAGAACAGAACTAGAACAGAACTAGAACAGAACTAGAACAGAACTAGAACAGAACTAGAACAGAACTAGAACAGAACTAGAACAGAACTAGAACAGAACTAGAACAGAACTAGAACAGAACTAGAACAGAACTAGAACAGAACTAGAACAGAACTAGAACAGAACTAGAACAGAACTAGAACAGAACTAGAACAGAACTAGAACAGAACTAGAACAGAACTAGAACAGAACTAGAACAGAACTAGAACAGAACTAGAACAGAACTAGAACAGAACTAGAACAGAACTAGAACTGAACTAGAACTGAACTAGAACTGAACTAGAACTGAACTAGAACTGAACTAGAACTGAACTAGAACTGAACTAGAACTGAACTAGAACTGAACTAGAACTAACTAGAACTGAACTAGAACTGAACTAGAACTGAACTAGAACTGAACTAGAACAGAACTAGAACAGAACTAGAACAGAACTAGAACAGAACTAGAACAGAACTAGAACAGAACTAGAACAGAACTAGAACAGAACTGGAACTAGAACAGAACCGAACTAGAACAGAACTGGAACTAGAACAGAAACTGGAACAGAACAGAACTAGAACCGAACTAGAACAGAACTAGAACCGAACTAGAACAGAACTAGAACAGAACTAGAACAGAACTAGAACAGAACTAGAACAGAACTAGAACAGAACTAGAACAGAACTAGAACAGAACTAGAACAGAACTAGAACAGAACTAGAACAGAACTAGAACAGAACTAGAACAGAACTAGAACAGAACTAGAACAGAACTAGAACAGAACTAGAACAGAACTAGAACAGAACTAGAACAGAACTAGAACAGAACTAGAACAGAACTAGAAACAGAACTAGAACAGAACTAGAACAGAACTAGAACAGAACTAGAACAGAACTAGAACAGAACTAGAACAGAACTAGAACAGAACTAGAACAGAACTAGAACAGAACTAGAACAGAACTAGAACAGAACTAGAACAGAACTAGAACAGAACTAGAACAGAACTAGAACAGAACTAGAACAGAACTAGAACAGAACTAGAACAGAACTAGAACAGAACTAGAACAGAACTAGAACAGAACTAGAACAGAACTAGAACAGAACTAGAACAGAACTAGAACAGAACTAGAACAGAACTAGAACAGAACTAGAACAGAACTAGAACAAACTAGAACAGAACTAGAACAGAACTAGAACAGAACTAGAACAGAACTAGAACAGAACTAGAACAGAACTAGAACAGAACTAGAACAGAACTAGAACAGAACTAGAACAGAACTAGAACAGAACTAGAACAACAGAACTAGAACAGAACTAGAACAGAACTAGAACGAACTAGAACAGAACTAGAACAGAACTAGAACAGAACTAGAACAGAACTAGAACAGAACTAGTAGAACAGAACTAGAACAGAACTAGAACAGAACTAGAACAGAACTAGAACAGAACTAGAACAGAACTAGAACAAACTAGAACAGAACTAGAACAGAACTAGAACAGAACTAGAACAGAACTAGAACTGAACTAGAACAGAACTAGAACAGAACTAGAACAGAACTAGAACAGAACTAGAACGAACTAGAACAGAACTAGAACTAGAACTAGAACCTAGAACTAGAACAGAACTAGAACAGAACGTAGTAGAACCGGAACTAGAACAGAAACTAGGAACAGAACTAGAACAGAACTAGAACAGAACTAGAACAGACTAGAACAGAACTAGAACAGAACTAGAACAGAACTAGAACGAACTAGAACTGAACTAGACGGAACTAGAACTAGAACTAGAACATGAACTTAGAACAGAACTAGAACACGAACTAGAACAGAACTAGAAACAGAACTAGAACAGAAATAGAACAGAACTAGAAAGACTAGAAACAGAAACTAGCAACAGAACTAGAACAGAACTAGAACAGAAAAACAGAACTAGAACAGAACTAAACAGAACTAGAACAGAACTAGAACAGAACTAGAACAGAACTAGAACAGAACTAGAACAGAACTAGAACAGAACTAGACAACAAACTAGAACAGAACTAGAACAGAACTAGAACAGAACTAGAACAGAACTAGAACAGAA